ACCGTCGATGTCGATGCCGAGCCTACGATTTCTCTGCCATCTTCCGCCCGTGACGACGTGCCCATGACGGATGCGCCCGCCCAGGACTCCGTGCAAGAGGGTGAATCACGAGACTCGCCCATCCGCCCGCGCCGCTCCCACGCCGCTCCAGTCTACAATTTGTCTAAATTGAGTGGCACTGATGGCCATGGGAAGCGACGGGCCAATGGCGATGTCATTTCCACTAGACGCCGACGCACCCTTATCAAAGCTGGCCTCATGGAGGATGACGGCTTCTTGGAGCAAGAAAATGCGCGTGCCGCCGGCCGATCGCAGGCCATTGGCGCACGCGACTCCCAATCCGCTTCGCAAAAGTCGTCGCCGCGCACAATTCGTCGAGCCAAGCCATCGCCCCCTCCCCGATCATCGTCCCGCCGGGCAACCCTCGACGTTGCGACCTTGAATAGGATGATTGTCAACACCGATCGACGCGGTCGCAAGTCGATGGAAAAGATCGCAGCCCCGCCCCCACAAAAGATTTCTAGAGAGCTGCGCCGACTGCAAGACACCAAGGAATTTGCGCACGTTGACGAGCAGCCCATGATCACGACCGTGTGGGCTAATGGAAAATACGTTGATCCAAAAGAGGCCGAGTCCCGGGCGCGAAAGAGGGTTAAGAAGGACGAGTCCAAGAACGACCCTCCGGCCGAACAAGAGGAGACGGTGTCTCCCGAACCCGTCACCAACACCAGGCAGCGCCGGGTCAAGAAGTATCTGGAGAAGGGTCTCTACTCAGGACAAGATGCGCCAATGGATATCTACAAGGGCCTCACGATGAACGAGAAGAAGCAGCTTTCTGAACTTCCCGAGCTTATTCCCAGCGGCCGCGTCAACAAGATCATGCCGTCGCCCATGTTTACTGGCCTGCGCACTCTCATTGCTGGCCGCGACTTCCGGCTCCCATTCCACATTTGCAACCCGCTCCCTCCTGGACAGCCAAAGCCAGACGAGTGGAGGAAGATGACCAAAAGTAAGCGAGGACATGACAATATTCTGCCCAGGCGCACTCAAGCTGACTACCTGAAACCTAGACCGATTCATCGGAGACTCCAAGGATATTTGGAGGAAGTCACCCCATTATCACGACATGTCCAAGTGTGTCTGCACGCCCGAGGACGGCTGCGGGGACAATTGCCAGAACAGAATTATGCTCTACGAATGCGACGACTCCAACTGCAGCGTTGGAAAGGAGGCCTGTACGAACCGTGCCTTTGCGGATCTCACATCTCGGCGAAACAAGGGTGGAAAATACCGTGTTGGCGTTGAGGTGATCAAGACTTCTGACCGTGGGTACGGAGTACGCAGCAACCGCTGCTTCGAGCCAAACCAAATCATTATGGAATACGCGGGAGAAATTATCACGGAGGAGGAGTGTGAGCGGAGAATGAACGAAATCTACAAGAACAACGATGTAAGTGATGGTGTCACCCCTCCTTGTGTATTCTTGATTTGGAGATCTGATGGCTCATACTAAAACATGGCAGTGCTACTACTTAATGAGCTTTGACCAGAACATGATTATCGACGCTACTACGGGAAGTATCGCTAGATTTGTCAACCACAGCTGCAACCCAAACTGCCGCATGATCAAGTGGATCGTGTCCGGCCAGCCTCGTATGGCGTTGTTCGCGGGCGATAAGCCGATCATGACGGGAGATGAGCTTACGTACGACTACAATTTCGATCCGTTCTCATCCAAGAACGTGCAGAAGTGTCTGTGCGGACAGCCAAACTGCCGTGGCTTTTTGGGACCAAAGCCCCGAGAGGTCAAGCCTGCCATCAAGACCGTCCTCAAGGACACTGTCAAGGCGGGCAAGCGAAAGCTGCAGGAATTCCTTGGCGGAGAGGAGGACAAGGCAAAGAAGCCCAGGGCCAAGAAGCCAACGTTGAAGGCCATCACCAGCACAAGGGGAGCACTTGCCAACGTGGGCATGCAGCTCAAGCAGGGTGCTGCTACTGCGCTGAAGAAGACGGTGGCCTCGGTGGCTTCCAAAGCTAGAGGAAAGAAGACGAACGGGGCCAGCCAGACTCCACTCAAGGGCCGGAAGTCGACAGGTACCATTATCAAGAAGAAGCTGACCACCACCACACGCCTCGTGAAGACATACACGAAGGGGACACCCAAGAAGCAGACCACCAGCCAAACGTCTGTGACGGCCAAGGTCACGAAGAAGACAGTGTCTGGGAAGGCGTCTCCCAAATCGCCCGTGAAGAAGACGCCAACGACGAAGGTTGTGACACAGAAGACGTATTCGAGCAAGGGATCTAGGACTCCAGCCAGCGTCAAGGCGCGCAAGGTCATCAGCGGGCTGTCGTCTCCTCGCAAGGCGATTGAGATCTCACGAGGCATTCAAACCATCACGGCAAGTACAGAGTAGAGGGGGCAGTACACGGCGCTTTTTTGCTAGTGCACTAGGGTCGATAGAAGAACACGAATAGAGCAGGCATGGTTTATTGCATATTACCAGGTGTGGACGAGGAGAATGAAGGGGCAATGGAGAGGAAGAGGGTGGGACCCTGAACCATCCTCGGGGCTTAATGTATCGAGTAAGATTACGGGGAGGACAAGACCGACCGCTGTCTCGAGCTAGTTTTTGGGAGCTGGGCTTGAGCCACCTGCCCCGTACTGTCTGCGCCGTCGATTGTGTGTGGTTGCTTCGCTTTGCTTGCGTTGATTATAGGAGTTTGGGCGGTGGCGCAAAGGAGGAGGGGAATGATTGTTGTCCACGTGCTATATGTACATTATATTCATCGATAGCCAGGCTCTTAGCATACGTCTTTGACAATGGAGGCTGGCTCTGTTTCGCTTTCCATTACGCTACGGAATCGTCTGCCTCACTTCTACAATCCGTACTTTCCTGTTTCGTGTCGACTGGATAATTACCTACTGAGCTAACAGAAAGTCGGTGAAGATGCTTGGCAAATTAAGACGCGTCGCCTTGCCTTGCCTTGGCTCTGTGTTGTGTTGTGCTGTGCTGTTGTGTCGTGAGAAGGTTGTGTGAGGCGCCGGTCTGCCTTGCAGACGACCAGACCGGCTTGCGGGGTGAGCGCGCTCCGTACCCGAAGATGAGGGGGGGGCAAAAGGCAGACGAGACACGTGGGATTTGAATGACGAAAATGGTCGATTCGAACCGAGGGCTTGGATATTTGCTGCACTTTGGTATATACGCCTATTCCACGACTGCGATCGCTGCCCCACGCGGATGAGGTGTATTTGTGGCTTGTCAACCGACGATGTGAGCGCAGTGTCGCCGAGGAGATAGCCCACTAGGGGGATCTGGTCCTCGCTCGGTCGGGATTGATAAAGTCGCGCGCATAGGTAGGACGAAAAAGAAAGGAAGGCTTCGTCGTGATGATGGGATGTGGTTCTAGAAGCCTGCCCGTTCCCCTCTTAGTTTTGCTGCGAGGCGGGTTAAGGTTGATAAGCGAGCGCCGGAGTAGGCAGAGGCTATGCAGTTAAGTGCACGTATAATGCTTCCTATTGTTTCCTATTACGGGATAGTAAGCTGATAATATTCCCTAATAATTGCTTAATAATTTATAATTATTGTCATCATCATTAACCAGGTATTGTCTATCAATCTCGTGGCCTGTATTGGAAAGTTGGGATCAAGACAACCTTTGCAGTCTGCTATTCTGACGCCCACTTTGGCTGGTGTTAGCGGATCGGTGTGCGTTTTGCCCGGCGCCGCCGCGCCCTAGACTAAAAGTCCCCTAATGGTCACGGAAAAGGGAAGAAACGCATAAGCCGACCTGAGTTTGAATGTGTTAAATGCCAATTTTAGGTTTTGGGCGTGCACATAGCGAAAGTTTGGACGGTGTTGCTTTGGGGTTCCTCGGGCGTGTCTGCCTTGGGCGCGATGGGGTGCAGGGGGTGGTGGTTCTGGGAAAGGGGACGAGCAGTTAATCAGGCAGGGGTCGGGAGCCATGTGGCCCGGTTGTTGGTGCCCGGAGTGCGGCTATGTGCATGAGGGCGTGACAGCTGAGTAAAAAAAGAAAAGCGAAAAGGCCACCGGGAGGATGTGCAGTTGGCTGGTTGGGTTGAGCCAACAGGGCGGGATTGAAATCAATGAGGCCTGCAGGGGGCTTTGTCAATTGGGAAAGTCGACAAGTGTAGAATTCATGCAGGGCAGACTTGGGGCTGGTGATTGGTGGACGTCACTTGGTGGATGGGGGATTCTTTGCTGGCAAATAGGAAATTTATTCGAATGACTAGCAATTGGCTAGACTACGATGACTCTATGGTAAAATTACAGACGAAAGCAGAGGAAATATGCAAGCTTGCGCTACAAGGGGGGGCCATTCTAAGGCAAAGGGCAGAAAGGCATACTAACAAACTGACAAGAAACTGGGCGCCCCCCCGTCTATTCTATCGTCCTTCCATCCTCCCCCGTCTATCCTGACTCCTGACAGCCTCGACTAGCTGTGGTACAGCTGAGAGTCGGGTGTCTGAAACTAAGCGCGCGAGCAATGAAGCTGCGAGCTTGGGTGTGCCGTGGCGAAATAAATGCCATGGCTGCGAATGTGTTGAATATCCACCAAAGAAAGAGCCGAGCTCCCGATATGAGTAGGGGCATAAAGGGAGCGGCGATGAGAGAAACAAGTTCAAGGAGGAGAAAAAGAATTAGAAGAAGAATGATGATAAGAAAACAAAATCAAGAAGAAAAGGCAGGTCGAGATATTGGCTCGAGTTGTCTTGCTTTGAGCGACATCTTCGTCAAAGACGAGATAGTACCACAGGAAAGGACACTACTTCTTGTAGAGAAGCATCCAGTCTCCTGCGTGGCGTGGGAGTTTGTCCATCGATACTCGGGGCACCGCGTGGGAAGAGCGAGCGATTGACTATTTCGTTGGCTGGGTATAGATGTAGCAATTTGAACATCGCATGTGGCTGCAGTAAGAGCAGCCTGCATCGACTGCGACGCTTAGGCCGGCTGCTCCGCATTCTGAACAAGACCAGTTCATTCTGTCTGTGACCAAGGAAACGTTGAGGTGATGATGATCGGGTAGCACTGGAAGATGGTGTTAAGAGGATATCTCTTGTGAGCCGCGTGAGTTTGGTTGCTGTGATTGTTGATCGGTTGATACACTGGCAACACGTGGAATATATACAGATCGTAGAGAAAGCAATTCGGCACAAAAGAGCAGACACAGAATAAGAGACACACAATCTCTCCCGAAGTCGAGGCGCAGAACCTGTGGGTTTGCCGATGAGTGTCACTTACATTTGTGCAAGGAACAAGGCGAGTGGTTGGCCAAGGAAGAAAGCAAGGTCCTCGAATGAACTGCCAGAGTCCATGCTCAGAAATGCGATCCTCGTCTGTGTTGGGACATTCTTGCCGACGTTGAAGTCGGTCTCACCCGGGAAAGGACCCTCGTGATTCTGCTGGGGACCAGTCAGGGACCAGTCAAGGCCGCAGAGCAAGGACTGCCTCCCGTGTCTGGCTAGAGGAGCGGCAGCATTGCCCTGGTCATTCGGTATATGACTGACACTGGCAACATCAAGATAGACGCAGGGGCCCAAGGGGAGCTGTGTTACTGGCCCGGGTATCATGGCCAAGTTGCATCGGCGGCATGCTTGCCTCATAACCGTTGGTTCCCCCAAGCATAGGTCGAACCGGAGACTACCGTCAGGCCTGGGCAGCTTGGGATTGGCCCTGTCCACGGAAAGGGCAATCAACGGGGAGCCATGGGGACACCAACTGAGCACTGGGCACCGTTAGTAACAAGCACAGACAGGGGGAGGGGGGAGCCAAGGTCCATATGGCAGCGGAGGGGACATGACGTTTGCGAAAGGAGCCGACGGCACAAAAGTTTGGGGCAAGCTGCTAACGGCGACACTGGGCACGCAGGTCCTTTGGAGCTGGTGCTACCGGAGACGAGAGGGTGAAAGAGGACGATGCCCGAAGCAAATAATGGCTGTGCAAAGGACTCTGTTATCCTTCTGCCATGTAGCACACGACAGCCTCGCTCGCCTTGTACTTGGCTCCGATCTGAGGCTCTGCTCACGTGTGCCGCTTCCTGCTGTGCAATGGAATTTGAGGAGATGGGATTGAGGGTCCCCATGTCAGCTAAGATAAGCATGGAAAGCGACAAAGTCTGGCTCAATTGTGCCGAAGTCCAGTGGGGAGGTCGCGCTCGCGCCGAGAAAAAATTTGTATATACTGTGTGACAGGATGAAATGGCCAATACCTTGCTGGCAAACACGCAAATGGACAAACAAAGGGTACCAAGCGGCGGAGTCGCTCATCCTTTGAACGAGTGGCATGTCCGGTGTTCGTTTTCTTCGCCGGTTGGGAGACAGATACAGGGGAGGAAAGGAAAAGGAAAAGGAAAGGGAGAGAGAAGCATCGCCATACTGGTTGGTCCACCGTCACAGCCACGGAGACTGGGCAGATCAGACGTGGAAAAGGGCCACGGAGCACCGACCGACAGGCCAGCAAATGAGTCCCACGGGCAGTCTGGACGATACTAACAATCGACTGAGCGTGGAGTGCGCCCAATGGCAATCCCATGACCACCGCGCTCGCCGTGATGGTCGGTCGGCCGCATGAAGGCCGGTTCCACCAGGATGAAGATATCACCACAGCCCACAGAGGACCAACAACCTGCGGGTTATGTCATCAACGATGGAACCGGTGCCTGTGTCTGGGTCGGTGAGCAAGCTCCTGCTCCTGCTCCTGCCCCTAATCCTGCTCCTCATCCTGCTCCTAGGCCAATGGTTGGGAGCACCGCAGCTGTCGCTGGGGCAGGACAGCACGAGACCAGCCAAGCACGGCAAGGAAAGGAGAGGAAATGAAGTGAGCGCAAGGCAAGGCGAGACGAGAGAATGGTTGCAAATGACTGGGAGAGGAGCAGCGTCTTATATGATGGGAATTGGCCGTGGTTGAGGCTCAAAAGGCAGAAAGAAAGTGCACCTCGATTTCCGGCTTGGCAATGCACACCAGAGCCTTGCGCCTGATGTAGAAGAGGCTCTTTGCTTGGTCTGGCCCTCATTCGTCGCCGGACGGGTGCCAAGCTCTCTGCCAGCAGGTGGTGCAGCAAAAGGCAGTTCTGTCGGTCATCTGGAGATGTGCGCGCGTGTGCGTCTGAGCGCCCGGGCATTTGCGAATGTGCAACATACAGCACACATCGAGTTCGGGTGCAATAGGTGTGCTGGTTGTGATGGAGTTTGGGCACAAAAACGACTCGCAGCCCAGTACTTTCGCTCATACCGTGTTTTGGTACAGCGGCATGTCCCTGCTAACAAACTCACCAAGGCGCCGAGCCATCACCTGCGACATGCTGGAGAAGGCGGACGGACAGTGGAAACAACCTGGGCAATGGATGACATCACTGTATGTACGCACACTGTGCACACGCACTTAAGATACCAAACATCGTACAGTGCATTGCCCACCATCGGCACATTGCAATTCCCCTCTACGCAAGCAGGGCAAAGCACGAAAACAACAAAGTCCGTCAGCTTGCATAAGCTCCTCGCCAGCACAACACATCGTCGCAGGAAGCATTGCTACCGCCAGCGACTCACCCCGACCCGATCCCATTCGTCTCGACTTGCCGCCCAGCCAACCACCGACCAAGTCCGACTCGTGCCGTCCCAAACGTCCGCCAACCACCATGTCGCGATGACACAGCCGGGTCCCAGCCGTGTCGCAACCCGCTGGGCGGTTCGCATCATCCCATGCTTCATCGTCGCTGCCTTTGCGTTTGCTAAATACGCCGTCATTGCTCACCTGTGTGGTACGTTCGGATGCCTGCGCCTTTGTGCCACCTTCCACCACCCACCACCCACCACCGTCGGCTCGCTCGCCCCTCTCTTCCCTCCCCTTTCCGACGTGCCTTCATCGCATCGTACCGCTGCTAACCAGCCTCCTTGCCCGCCCCAGTCGACTTCCTGTATCGTCAGCACCACGAGCGCGGTCTCGCCATCGCTTTGATTGTCCTGTACCTTGTCTTCTTCCTCCTCGCCCTCGCCGCCTACGTGAGAACAGTATACACGACACAGACCAACCCGGGCCTTGTCCCATGGTCCGAGCGACGTCAACGAGTGCACAATGAACGCAAAGCCCTCCCTCACAAGGAGAGGGAAGACCTCGAATCGCAGTCATGGTCTACCCCCGATCTGAGCCCCGATAGCCCCGGCCTCGAGTCCTTCTATACCAAGACCATGTTCATCTGTGAACCGGACGGCCGCCCCAGGTGGTGCTCCCTCTGCTGGAGCTGGAAGCCTGACCGTTCCCACCATTCGAGCGAGCTGGGTCGTTGTGTTCGCAAGATGGATCACCTCTGTCCCTGGGTTGGTGGGATGGTCTCCGAGACTTGTAAGACAACCTGCAAAACTCCCCTCTGAAGCATTGTCAGCCTTCAAGGAGTGACCTGAGCTAACACGAGCCAACCAAGCTTTCAATTTCTTCGCCCAGTTCACCTATTGGGTCTCTATGTATCTCTCCGTCTGCGTTGCGACCGCTGGGTACTGTCTACACAAACAAATACAGGCCTCGGATCCGCTGGATTGGCGCGTAGTCGTCATTCTTGCCCTCTCCGGGCTCTTCGGTCTTTTCGCCTTCGGCATGTCCATGACATCAACGCGCTACATTGTTGAGAATATTACGAATATCGATGTATTTAAGAGGAGAGCGGTACATTACATTGCCATCCGCGTCCCTCGTGGGACTCCGTCAACAGCCAGCTACCAAACAGTCACCTTCCCGCTACCCGGTCCTCCCGGTACAGAGCCGCACTCCCCGGCGAATGGATTCACACCATCGAGTCGAGACCGGCAGGCCGTACGGACATTTGCGATTGTCAAGACAGAGCCCGGGGAGAACCCGTTCGATCTGGGCTACTGGCGCAATTTCAAGTCAGTCATGGGAAACAACATCTTCGAGTGGCTTCTGCCCATCAAGTATTCCCCCTGCTGCAATCACGACAACCCGGAGGGCTTCTATGAGTTCGGATGGCTGATCGAGGAGCTCAAGGAGCGTCATGGGCTTCCACAAGGACATCGACGGCGCCACTCTAGGGCTGGTGAGGTAGAGATGGTCGAGAGAAGACCCTCTCGCCATTAATGTCCGCATCCTTGTCCTCAGCTGCGTTGGTGCATCTCTCGCTTATATCTCATTTGCCCGTATCTTTCTCTTCTCTCTCCGCCCCAGCGTCGTGATTTGATTTGTCCTGGGACGCTTGTATGGAGTCTTGGAGTTGACACATGTGACGTGATAATACCCATGATTGTCGAAATGGAAAAGCGAGCGCACACGTATATATCTTTCCTTTACATTATATTTTGGCTTTTAGGTTCCCTCCTTTGGTTTTCCATAGATTCATCCGAGCTCGGGGAGCACGCAATACCCTCTCTTGGCACTTAATACACCCACTAATTCATGAAAACCCTTCTCATCCTTCTAACATCTTGGTGGCTACAGCAGTGGTAACTATTGCAGTCACTGACCTGGTCTTCTCGGCAACCTTCACGGATCGCCTTTTCGCGCAGCCGTAGACGAACGATTGCGCAAGGATCAAAATAAGAAACTCCCCACCATGCAACTAACAGATGGAGTCACCACATCCTGGACGTCTTGGCAGGGATTCTCTAAATCCCGCGGCTGATCGTCTCAGGGAGGGGTAGCAGCCGGCTCCTTTCCCCTTCCTACATCCAGCTATTCTACATGGTAGAGCCGACTGGACGCGGCAGAACAACCCCGACGCGATGTCAGGAAAGCACCATGAGCACGTCGATGCCGTCGTCCTTGACACTCTCGACTCCCAAGGCGTCGGCGAGACGAGCGGCAGCTCCAGCAATCCTATCACCAGCACCGAGACACACCACCGAGCGACCATCCCTCCTCCCGCTGGAAAAGATGTCGAGTTCCAACACAATGTCTCCGACCCGTTGAATCTCTCAGCCAGCCTCAAGCTCGACTCCGAAATTAAGGCTAACACTTCGCGCAAGCGTGTTGGGCTCCGAAAGGGTAACGGCCTGGAGAAATACTACGAGAGTCAGAACCAGAGCATCCATGCCATGCTCAAGTCGGTCGATGAGCACGAGCAGGACAAGCTTGATGACCACGGCAAGAATACCTTCCTGCACGCCCTCTGCGTCAAAGGTTCTCTGATCGCCAACATTTTCCTCTCTGGCTTGCAGATGTATGGTGCTGTCAGCTCTGGGTCCCTCTCTCTGTTCACCACCCTGGCTGATTCCATCTTTGATCCCTTCTCCGGCATCATGCTCTACATGGCCCACCGCGCCGTCAACAAGGTCGATGCGCGCAAATATCCCTCTGGGCGTGCGCGGATCTCCACTGCCGGGAACATCGTCTTCTCCTTCGTCATGTTCTCCGTCTCCCTGGTCTTGATCGTCATGTCAGCCCGTGACCTGGCAGCCGGCAGGGAAGAGGAGACGAACAAGTTCCACCTCTCTTCCGTCCTTGCCGTCGCTGGTGCATTTGCGACCAAGCTTGCCCTATTCTTCCTCTGCTGGACCGTCAAGGATACCTACTCCCAGGTGGATATCCTATGGAGGGACCATCGCAATGACTTGTTCATCAACGG